CACGAAAGATGGAGCAAGGAAAAGATGCGGCTGCACAAAAGATGGAGCAAGGAAAGAATGCTGTTGGACAGAAAGCTCAAGGAAAGCAAGATTTCGGACAAGTGATGGAAGGAGGCACGAACGTTCCCGGACAACCTAAAAAGAACGTTGCTCCTCCTACTAAAGTTGAACAAGGTGCTGGTAAAGAAATGATCCATCATCCGAAGAACACCAACCCTGAAGATCGCAAGGACTTCAAACAGTACAATAAAGACGGTACAGTTAACAAATTCCATGAATCAAGGGCTGAAGGCGAAGCTAAGGTACTTAACTGCACTTTATTCAACCAACGTCTTTGATTCGCTTCTTTCAGCTCGACCCCAACAGAGACTACGCCACCCAGACATTTCAGACTTCGGGTGCTGCTCAGGCCGTGCAGAACTAAAGATGATGATTTCTCAAACTTTCATGTTGTAAAAATATGTACAGAGAATTGTGTATGATTATGGAGAGTTGTAACTATTTTCGGATGTTGTATAATGAAACTTTATTGACCTCAAGTTCATCTTGCCTCAAATTTTCTATTTATGTAAATAAATTTTAACCGACAGTCTGGCTACATTGCATATATAAATAATATATTAGGTTGGCTAAAAAATAATTTCGGTTTAAGCATGTGCGACCATTTTCCGCATTTGTTCGTCTTTCCTAGAGCTTCTAGGTGATTTTTGATGGTATCATGTGTGCAGAAACATTCTAGCCTGCCCTCGGATCGTTTGAGTTTTATCCGTCTCGACTATCTCCCTTCACGGTCATCGCGCGAGACGTCTTCTAAGGTCTCTCTATTTCGAAAACCTTAAACCATTTTTGGACCTGCCGTTCATTTACGATCTCCTCTCCAAAAACGCTGCACATGGTCCGATGGGATTCTGCCGCCCTTGCCTTATTTAAAATCGTACAACATGGAAAAGCGAACGCGAATTGGTTTCGCATCTTCTAAAGTTTATAAAATCTCTGAAATGGATACTTATTGAGATGAGGCTATATCATCGTCAAGTGCTCTTTCAAATAATGCCTTCATTGAGATGAGGCTACATCATCAAGTGCTCTTTCAAATAATGCCTTAATTGCTCATAAAACTTTCATACAGAACTTGTGACAAAGTGCGAACTCAACCGATTTTTTTGGCCAACCATATATATCATACAGTTGCCGACGAGTTGAATATCTTATCGTGTTTAGCAACTTTTAACCCACTTTAATAAAAAAAAGTAATTGAAAAGTGCATGGAGATTGGCTAGGCTCCAAAAAGTTCCATCTAATTCAGTTAGTGCGAAGATTAAATGAATCAAATACTGCATTCTTTAAGACTAATTCAGATCGTAATCTGTGTAAACTTTCGTTGTTATGGTAGACTTGTACCATCATCAGCACTCGTAATCCTTGAGAATGCGGGGCGGGAACGCGGCCTCCACTCTATTAGAGCAGTAGTTGACAGTTCTGTTATGTTATATTGAATGACTATG